GCCCAAATTATTTGTAATTTTTGCACCTTAGGCGCCTATTTCACATGTTAGGTATACAATATTATATTGGCGCTTATGTCCTACACATTTTGGCGCAAATGATAGGTCATTTTTGTGCCTTTGGCGCTTCTGTCATATAGCCAGAAAAAAACAAAAAAAAAGGCTAATAACCTCAAGTTGTTTCAACAGCCTTAATATCTTAAATAAAAAAAAAATGAAAAAATATTATATCATAATTAGGACCATTGATTGTATTAATATGTATACCATAATAATTTGTCTTAAGCTTTTATATGTTGATATTTAGGTAGGTATTAGATTTTAAATACGTAATTAATTTTCAAACATTTATTATATATAGTTAAGTTGTTGTAATTAGTATTGATTAACAATCAATGAGTATAGAAATTGAAAAATGAAAAAAAAACAATACCCTGGCCCTGGTAATGTACATTTTAAAACAATACAACAACCGTCAATAATATTACAATACTTATGTAAATGCTGTTTAACTGAGCTCTAAAACTAAAGCYACGAAAAAATTCTGAAAGAGCGAATATTTTGGCCTAAATATCACTTCAGGCTAGCTGTCGCGCTCGAAATGACGTTTCTCTGTCGCTCACCAACACACACATATGACACAGAACCGCGGTAACGATGACCGCTTCAAGCAGTTGACCGGTCAAGCGCGCAAGCAATTCATTTTTCGAGATCTGTACCGACCGCGAGATCCATTGTCTCGCGTCGATCTCGTTACACGTTACGATTGTCCGAAATATCTGCCGAAAACCGCCGGGACACGTGAAATCGTATCCGAAATTCAGCTGAGGCCTCTATCCGCAACGTATAAATACTCTCACGTTAATGATTAATTGTCCATTCGCCGCCGATCGTTTAATCGTCATTAATCGTTGACCGTCGCCACCGCCGCGCCACGATGTCACCATCTTGTTGGTTCAATCAGTCTCTGTCCATCTCCAAGCCATCGTCGTTATTGTCGTTGTTGTTGTTGTCGGCGTCGCTTCAGATACATCAGCTGTTGGCCACGACGGCGACGCGGTACAACGCCGGCGGTCTAGCAGCCGCGCTACACGACGAGGGTGAGAAGTGCGCGCAGTCCGYCGACCTTTGGCCATGCCTCACCAAGAGTGGTTCAAAGGCCGTGGCCGCTATGGCAGCGTACCCGGGCGAGATACCGCTGATAGGTCAATACTTGACCGTTGTTCCGGACGGCCACGCGCGGTCCGTCGGTGACGTTCGCGATGACGGGCGAGCAGCCGTGAACAAAAACGGCACTTCGTCGCCGCGGCGGCCGTCCACGTCGGTGTACTCTAAAATCGCGGAATTCATGGAGAAGCGATCGCTACGGTTGTCCGTACCCATGGACGCCGTCGCATGGCTGATCGGCGTGACGACGTCGTCGCCTGTTACCAGGGAAGAGGGACGAAAGAAGGACAAAGGCGCCGGCGTGSTTATGTTGGGCGGAATGATGATGATCACCACGCTCATGTCCACCGCGTTCGGGGCGTTGGCGCTGATGGCCGCCAAAGGGCTGTTGACTAGCATACTTGCGCTGATGTTTTCGGCAATGGCCGTGTCGAAAAAGTCGGGTGGCCACGGCCACGCCAGGACCACGTACGAAATAATCAACAACCCGGGACTACACAAAGCGTACCAACACGCATCCGATTACAAATTGGAAAACGGTGCGGCGGTCGTATCGGACGTAAGTCGTTTTTTATAAATTATATTATTTATAAWTAATATGTATATATAATTATCAACTATTATCACTCGCATCATTGCAAAATATTATGCAGATATGTAGCTAACTTTGTGACATGCATAAAATGGCTGCCGTTTTGCTCATTATCAGTAAATTATATTTTTTATCAGTTATATCATCTCAACCTTTTGAGGTCCACGCCTCCTTTCAAACTATTTTATGAGTTCACGCCTCCCCCCTGTCTACTATAAGTTTGATGTATGCATAATATTTATACGTAAACCATACTTTAATGTTGATTATTGGATTAATATGAATACAACTTCAATGACGTATTTTTAATACTAAATGAATTTATTTGCACAAAAAACTATTATTAAAATATATACAATTAATGAGAGAGTTGGCCCTGTTTATTTTTAAGTGTAATCGTAATGCGGGCCAGAATACTAAAGAGCATAAATATATGATTTATATAATCTTATAAAATCGTAATAATCGCTCGGTGTATATCTATTGATCGACCCCGGCAGTGATCAACACACCGGCAATGCACAGCGTAGAAAACGGCAACGTTTTCATTTTTCGTGTTTTTTTTTCAACATTTCCACGCCCTCCCCTGAAA